TCCATCTTCCAAAGGAACATCTCAGGGATGAATTTCCACTGCAGAATGTCAGGAAATGCATGGAATCCCCACAATTCCCCCCGGGTCTGGCACTTTTCTCCCTGTGTGATCTGCTCTGATCCAGCTCCTGGAGGAGCTCCAGCAGCAAAGGACACCACAATTCCCTGCTCCCCAGATCTGCAGCAGAGCCTGAACCCCTCAGAACTGCACAGGAAATAAAGAACTGATGCACAGTGACATTTTATACCCCTTCAAATCACATCCACAAAGGTTCCCTTYTCCTTGTGCCCCTATCTCATCCTGATGAACCCTGCCTGGCGCTGTCTTTTCATTTTTCTTTCCCTTCCATGTCTTTGCAGGCTGGCAGACAGGAGATGAAGTCATTTCAGTTATTTCTGTCCTTCSGTAAGATTTACTGCCCGTGTTTGTACCGAGGCTCCCGACTGGGACAGAACCCTGCACTGAGCTGCAGTGCTGCCGCTTTGTAAAGCTGGAAAGTTYAGAAATTACCCTGACTGAGTGAAATTTAAACACACAAACACTCACAGTGAGCTGAGGTTCTTTAAACTCATATTTAGCTCTCTGACTGCAATAGTGTATGACAGGAAATCAATTATTTTMTGTTTTCAGTCTGCAAATGAGTGTTTCACAGACAGCATTCCAGGTTTAATTCAGAAGCCTTTCTAAAAGATCACGGGTTTTAATGTGCAAATTGCATAAATAACTTCAGTAATTCATGATGAGGAGAAATTACTCCTGTCTGAGTGAGTTTCCTGTCGATTGACATATTAAATGGAAAAGGCACTTTCACAACAGCCCCAGAAGGAATTCTCACTCTGCAGGGAACCCAAAAAACCGTATCAGCCTGGATTATATGGATTATAAACCCACCACACTGGGATTTGACAGCATATAGCTCCAATGTTATCTGGTAACTGGAAAAGAATGCAATAAACGCAGTTTAAAGCTCTTTTGGAGGTTCTTTGAAAGCATTCTCCTTTTCTCCACCCTCACTAAGAAACTGAAGCACCAGAGGGAAAATTTGGTGATGTCGATGTCTGAAAGGTGACAGCTCACCAGTTTGAGTTCTGAGGTGAGGTATTTTGATTTTTCAGCATTTTAGCAAATCCATTTCCAGCAAYTGGGCTGCTTTTTGCTAACATTTGATCAAACTTCAAGCTTGTCTCCTAGAGGCCAAGGAGCACACGGGGATTAAGGGAAATGAGAATTTTTACCCCTCTGTTTTGGTCTGCAAGTCAATGAGAAGGGAGTAAATTTAGCCAGGAAAAAAAAAAAAAAAAGGAGAGGCAAAAAACTTCCAATTTGACCACTCCAATTCTTACAGTTTTTTATAACAAACAAAATTATTCCTGTCTCAAGGCCACTGAACATCAATATTTCAGGGCAGGAACACTGCTGGCCTCTGGTCTTTAGGTGCAGTAGAAATAATTTACCACTGATGGATATCTGTGCTAATTATGGGTTGTGACACCCCACTGTTCTTCCCGTGAGTCCGTGATCATTTTTTTCCGCAGAATTCCAGGTGGCAAATCTGTGTTTTGGAAGGAAAAATGGCTTGGACTCGCCACCTTCCATCTGGGGCTCTCAGCACATGGACAGGATGGAGAGTTTTATTCAGAGATCACACAGTCCAAACCCAGCTTGGTTTTGGTTCAGACACCTCTGAAAGGTTAATTTTATGTTCCTGTTGGTCCACACGACGCAGGCAGAGCAGAAAAGGAGATCAGGCTGGGGAGAGGTGTAAAATACAGACAACACATGCCACTGACACAGTAATTGAGACAATTACCTCTCCTGGAGGCTTCAAAACTATCAAAGAGGTTAATTCTCTGGATGTCGTAGGTTAATGTGGTATTAGGCATCAGTGTTCTGTTYCTGTTAATGTTGGTGACAGCAAACTTGAAAGCCAATTCTTCAATGTTAACGGGTTCGTTTTCCACGGTTTCGAAAATCCCTCCTGGTGGAAAAGAGAGAAACCAAAGGGATTATTCAGCTCCTCGTGGGTGCTCCCTGAGCGGGGAGGGGTCCCAGCCCAGCTTTTTTGGCTTCTTTTTTGGAMTTTCCAAGCTGAAGTTTTTCCTATTTCTTGCTCCCTTTCTAAAACAAATGAAATTCTCTCTCCAAAAAAAAGAAGCAAGAAAATATTCCCGAAGAGGACTGGCAATAACCAACCCCAAATTCAGAAATGCAGTGATGTTCTGGGGTGTGTGCCCCAAAGCCACAGCCTGTCCCAGCACCCTGGGGTGTCTTTGCACACCTCATTGTGCCAGCAGCACATTCCCACTGCCCAGGGGCGCTGGGATTTGAGGAATGCTCAGCAAACACAGATAATTGAACAAAAACAGCTCCTCTAAAGTGCAATCTGCAGCCTCAGCGCCTGATTTTGCAAGCGTGATTTACTCATTACCTCAAGCCACTGGAGGATACTCTGAATTTCTCACTCACATGTTTCTCATTTCCCCCTGTGCAMTCTGAGGCCATTTTTTCCCAATTTTTGGGCATCTGAGTGTGTTCAGCTGCAATCTCCTGCAGTTTTCTGTCACTGTGCAGGAACAGCTCAGTCATTAGTGACCATCAGGAATGGGAGCACGCTGGAACCCGAACCTGCCTTGRATTTTAACCCAGCAATGAAAAACCCTGCAGGTTCCCAGCCCCAATGTGGCAATGCCATCCCTGGCTCCTCTGCAATAAATAACATTTCATTATTATTATTTTATCTCTGGAACCCACACAGAGCAGTGATCTGACCACTTCAGCAGTTTCCTTCCTCCCTCTGTGGATTTCTCACGTGCAATGTGCAGTTATCAGAACCTTTGAGACTTCTCTCTTCCTCAGAAAACACCCAGGTGATWATAAAAGAGTGTAATACATAAAAACAGCCCAAAAAAAATGGTCCAAGTGCAGGATTTGGAGCCAAAACATCGAGTAGAATGCTAAAAACCAGCAGGATTTCCCAGAGCATCACCTGAAGGGAAAGAATATCTCAAACCTGTCCTTTCAGATCCAACCCTGCAATTCCTCATCCCARCCATGATCCCAACGAGTTGAGTGGTTAAATTCAATTCTCTTTCCCTCATTTCACCCGAGGAAGATGATTCTTTTCACTCAGCTGAGATGGCAGCCTGGAATCCAGCCAGGAAGGAGCCAGTGCTGAGTTTTCCTGGAATTCCTGCTGGAACCAGTACCAGGGGATAACCTGAGATAATTTGGAGAGAAGGGGGTCCACAGTCCCTCCCCACCTCCAACAAGGTGAATATTTTCCTTTTTGATCCTGGCAGAAAATCCCCTCCACCTCAGAAATCGTTATTGTGCATTTTATCACTTCCCACTTCTTTAAAAATTAATTTAAACTCCTTCATCCTCAGGGCAACCTTGACACCTTGGTGTACACAARCACATCCTCATCCTAAAGCCAGAACTATTTCCAGCCTTGATTTTTCATTAAATGAAGATTAATTTTAATTGACGCATCACCAGGAACTCTTTATGCCTCATTAGCAGAATTCCACAGAACTTTTCCGGCTGGAAAGGCGCAGAACTCCCTGAAAGGCAGAAGGAAGGAGGGGAGGGGAAGGAAGTTTGGTGTGGATGTATTTCCTGAGCAAAAGATCCAAATTCTGAATTATCCATGCTCTTCCAGCCTCCTTTTGCTCACACCAACAGGAGAGCACTGAAATAAAKCTGATTTATTTGCTGGTGATAAAAAACGGATAAAAAACCGGAATCACTGAAGGGTTTGGGTTGGAATGAACCTCAAATCTCATCCCGTTTTACCCCTGCCATGGACAAATTATTTCCACRGAGGAAATAATTCCTTCCGTGACTGAACTGGGGGATATTTGGTTTAAAAGGCTCGGGCTGCACCTATTCCAGGATTCTCTCGTTGAGGTTCATTAGTGTAAAAAAAAAGAGCAAAATTTCTGCGTAAATTTGCATCACAAACGAGCCGTGCCCGTGGTGTTTCCACCCATCCATCCCTAATGAAATCCAGAAATTCCCTGAAAAATCCCTTTTCTTCTGCTCGTGAGAGATTGGAATGATTTTCTTCTGCTCGTGAATGATTGGAAGCCCAGGTTAAAAGAAAAATAGCAGAGTAAGTGACAAGTTTGACGAAGAACCCGTTCGGCAGCTGATTCATTTAAATGGAGTAATTACCATACAACGTTTTAAAAACAAATTAACCGCGGCATTCTGCGAGTGAAGGCAGGAAGGAAGGAAGGAAAAGGAAAAAGAAATCGATGTTAACTCAAGATAGAAATGATGGTCCAGGAAAAAGCTGTTATTGCTGAGCGGGGAAATGAGCGCTTAAATGGGGAAAATTTTAAATTTTAGAGTCCTTTTCACCTCCAGTTAAGAGTGAATCCTCCACAGCAAATCAAAGGCTGAGGCAGATCTGATTTTTCCCTTTCAGCATTTTTTTAATAAAGTGATTTCTTCGAGGATGAAGGGAAACCCCAATATCTGCCCCTCCTTGGAATTCAGCAAATTGGAATTCAGCAAACTGGAATTCAGCAAATTGAATTCCTCCTTGGAATTCCTCCTGGAAATGCAATCCCAGCCCTCCTGGGCAAATWAATGTTCACTTTTCAAGAAATCATCAGAAAACGAGGGAGTGCAGTAAAGGTCGGGGCTGAATCCGTCCCCAGAGCTCTCGGTTTGGTGGAAAGTTTTAAAGCTGTGTCCCTGCTGTCTTTATTTTCATATTTTTCATATTTTTATCTTTTTCATATTTTTAATATTTTTCATATTTTTATCTTTTTTATCTTTTTCATATTTTTCATATTTTTCATATTTCCCTCTGCCTCCACTCGTGTCCAAACCCCGTTCCCATTGTTCCTCCCAATTCCAGCAGGTTTTGTTCAAATTCCCTCAGGGCWGAGCWTTTCTCCCACCACGCTGGAACAACTTAAACATTCCCACTGGAAAAGAAACTCCMTTTCTCCTGAAACCTTTCAGATTCAAATATTTTAAAATTCTTTCAGATCTGCTCTTTTGAAGGGTCTGAGGGAGGGGATTTCCCTCTGATTTCCCAAAGCATTCACTGCTGGTCTTGCGCTGCTGGAAATGGGGAGGAAACAGGAAAGCAGAGAGGAGGGACAAAAATAAGTCAATGTTTATGTTGAGAAATAAAGGAAGGGGGAAAGAATTTGGCAGAAAAAAAAGAAAAAGAGGAGATGGGAAGCGAGCTGGTGGGGTGAAGAGTGAAATTGAGTCCATCTCTCAAATATCCGACTGTTTACAAATCTAAGGAGGTTTTTATTTCAGGTACAAAGCAATTGCGCCTCACACTTGAGCAATCCTCAAACCAAACGAAACCACAGAAACTTCCAAATCCAAGACAACGCTTTGCAATGAGCTCTGCTGGCAAAYAGCATTTCTGTGCACAAATTCCAGGGTTAATTCTGTAAAAATCACCCGCCCTGCCTTCCCCGAGTGCCCATTAAGCACCATTATCTCTAAGACGCTTTAGGAACAGAAGGTTTTTATTAAAGCTGCAGAAATCGGAGCTTATCCCCGAAAAGCTCGGATCAAATCAGCTCCCAGAGCCGGGGCCGTGCACAGAGGAGGGTCGAGGGGGCAGGAGGGACATGGGAAACTGCAACTTTGGTCTTTTTGGGATTTGCAGCTGCCCCGAGGGTGGAACTCCCTGTCCGGCCAGGAATGATGGACCTGGAGAATGCCAGGATTTCTGTCAGCCTGGAATGATGGACTAGGGAATGCCAGGATTCCTGAGCCAGGAATGATGGACCTGGAGAATGCCAGGGTTTCTGTCAGCCTAGAATGATGCAGCAGGGGATGCCAGGATTCCTGTTCAGCCAGGAATGATGATCCCGGGATTCTGAGCCAGGAATGATGGGATGGACCTGGAGAATGCCAGGATTCCTGAGAAAAGAATGATGATCCTGGGATTCTTGAGCCAGGAATGATGGATGATGGGGATTTCAGGAACCATGAGCCAGGAATGATGATCCCAGGATTCCTGTCCAGCCAGGAATGATGGACCAGGGAATGCCAGGATTTCTGTCAGCCAGGAATGATGGAGCAGGGGAACCTGGGATTCCTGAGACAGAAATGATGGACCAGGGCAATGCCAGGATTCCTGAGACAAGAATGATGATCCCAGGATTCCCATCCAGTCAGAAATGATGGACCTGGAGAATGCCAGGATTTCTGTCAGCCTGGAATGATGGAGCAGGGGAACTCCAGGATTCCTGAGCCAGGAATGATGATCCCAGGATTCCTGAGTCAGGAATTATGGACCAGAGAATGCCAGGATTTCTGATCCAGGAATGATGGACCAGGGGATCCCAGGATTTCTGATCCAGGAATGATGGTCTAGGGGATCCCAGGATTTCTGATCCAGGAATGATGGATCAGAGGATCCCAGGATTCCTGATCCAGGAATGATGGACCAGGGGGATCCAGAGCTGACCCAATCCCCCCATCTGGAAATCGCTGTGCACACCCTGCACTTTGAACCTGCCAAAAAATCCCAAAATCAAAAATCCCAGTGCAGATTGGAGCATCCAGGACCCCAAATGGATCAGCTCCTGCTCTCAGCCCCTCTGCACGAGGCCAAGGGGAATTCTGGCTTTGCTTTCCAYCCCAAARGCAGCAATYTCTGATTTCTCAGATTTCCCTGAGCCTGCACTTGCTGCTCTCAGTCTGGAGAAAATCAAAATCCTTCAGCCAAAATGAGAGGGCTTTGCTGTCCCCATCCTCATCCCCAGATCATGCCAGGCCTGGCTTTAAGGAGGGGAAAACCTGAAATTTTACAATAAAAACTCCAAATAGATGTGATTTGATTGGTTTTCATGATAAGAAATAATTCCCCTTTCAGCTTTTCTTGGCATGAGGAAGGATATAAACCCAAATTCTGCCAAATTTCCTGCTGGATCAATTTTTGTTTTATTCTCCTGAAGCTCAGACACACATTTGGGGTGGGACACTTCACTG